GCAATATTATCGCTTAATTCCAGATAACAACGCATTATCCAATTACTCAACAAGATTTTTACCGACAACAAAGTGGGCCAGAAATGGACCAAAAAATAATCGATTACATCCGAGATGAATTGGATGAGAGTTTGGATCGCGAGTATGGCGCGTTAGTGAACACAAGACTTGCTAACAATTGCGCTGACAATGCTAATATGAATGCTGGTAATCGGTCATCAAAAAAATCCGCTCAACACTATCGCTATGCACCAACTCGAATGATTGTACACCCTATGCAGCAGCAATCCTCAGATCAACCGTATTTTCGAGAACCTATTGTGTCCCATCAGCAATTCCATCGCCAACAACAGTACCAACAATTCTCTGACGACACGACCAGCAGTACGGCGAGCGTCTCAGCCGAGCAAATCCATCCGAGATTCCCTCCCGCCACACTACCAAAACCCTCTTACGAAAAGCACCAGTCGAGTCCTTCACCTCCAGCACTCCCCAAGAAACCACCCCCCTTTATGTCGAAATCTGAGAGCGAAGAAATCCGTCGAATAGCACAATTCAATGAGGGATTTGTTGCTAGTCAACAACAACTACAACAACGAGCATCAACTTCGAGGTTTGCTATTGGTTGATCAGTTGATTCTTGATTCATTTGATTTGAGCAGTTATTGAATTGCTAAGCAAACTGCTGGGCTTTCTGTATTACTGTGAAAGTGGGTGAGAGAATTGTATCTATGATTCGATGATTCTATACTATCATAAGTTCATAGAATATTCGCGAATGCGGATTTAAGTAAAGTGAACAGATCGCGAGCATTCAAGTTTATGTGAAGGAACACTCACTTTCAGGGATGTTGACGGACGACGTAGTGCATTTAAAGGGCTCACACCAAATCCTCCGAACACCCAGAAAATGCCTGACAGTTCAAGTGGTAATGCTGAAATTGAGAGAAATGAAGCAAAAAATGCTGATAAAAATGATAATATTGTTTGTGCGGCACCGGTTGGCCAGCGATCTCGGCGTTTCGCAACCAAAAGCACTGAATCGAGTAGCGGTCGAAGACGTTACCCTAGAGCTGATGATGCATCCAATCTTAGAGTTCAGCGGATCGACAACAAATCATCAGAGGATGAAGACAGCACTTCAGGTTAGGCTGTGTTTTCACGAGGTAATCAACTCTCCTATATCAAACGATCAAAATTTTTTTCATGCACCGCCAAGCAACTCCTATGAAATGATCAACGTTCGCGTAACGTTGATCGCTAAATGTCGCTTTTTCATATCCACTCTCAATCCTGGGTCAGTTTTTAGGTGATCGAACAAAACTTGGGTTGTGTTCATTGCATAGGTAAAGTGATCAAGCTAACTTTTAACAATGCTTCTGCAATTATCAGATCCCTCAAAATTTCGGTTACGAATTAATACGGAAAGCAATTAGCAGAGCAATAGGAGGAGAGTGTCATTCCACCGTCAGTTATAATCGCCCAGAACGACTACTCAAAATTTCAGTTTCGATGTCGGGATCACTCGGAAGCGCTGTACATGATTATGAGAATTCAACAACGCTGGAACGAAGTAACAGCGATCTTGCGATGTTATCCAGAATGGTATCGGCAAACGAGCAACGAGCAGCCAACCAAAGGAATCAAGTGCTCACAACAAGTTCTGATGTCAACGCCGCAACAACAACAACAACATCAACGTCGAATCACAGCAATACCGTTCAATACAATCGACAATCTTCACGTCGCAGTTCCACACCACCAAATGCTTATATGAAACGTGCTTATCGACGATACTCGAACGATAGCCAGTTCTTGAATTATGGTTTTGTTGAGTCTGACGACGAAATTCTCACAAGCCGAAAACATTCTAACACATTGCCGAGGTGCTACATTTTGTTTTCGTCAATGCTATATTACTACTCACTGATAAGAGCAATTTTTTGTTACATCAAACAATATCATGCATTCGTTCAGTTGAACATGAACAAGCACCTCTCTATTACCAATAGAAGTCACTCGGTTCCATTCCAACATCACTGTTATCTTTATTTCCACGGTCGCTATTGAATATCGCTGTCATTTTTATTGCCGTCCCAATGACTATTGCAGTTACCTTGCCATCAGTTACCTTGCCAAGAAAAAGCGATTGACAATGAACTGAGATGGCAAGGCTGTTGACAAGACACTAATAGTTCTGATCTTTTCTAGTGCTCACCTATCGGCTTTAACGCATCATCTGAGCGACAGTCCGAACAACGATAATAATGGTCGATTTGATGCAGAGTTCCTACCACCAATAGTAGCTTCAATAGATTCAAGTCGAGAATCCATTATCGCTCGAAACAATTCACCGAGACGAACCAGTTCTAGAGCTAAAAAGATGTATGGAAAGCGAGGTGAATATTACCAGGATTCGAGATGATTACTTGCTATTCATCCATTTTTGCTATTCAACATATTTATTCACCGATATTGCTATTTAACTCACGACTAATTGTATTGCTGCCGTATCATTCAATTCATCGTATCATTCAATGCCACTTTCATCAACTCCCTTCACGATTTTGCTTGAAAGCGAGAAGGGAATTGATGATTATGGCGTTAAATGTCANAACATCTCCTTCATAAAAGTACCACGATGTCTTCGGAATAATTGATGTAACGATTCAAAATTACATAAAAACAAACTCGGTTCATCCGGATCTCTAATCGATTCCTCTGTCAATTGATTATATGAGTGAGTAGACATGTCTTCGATTTTAGCTTGTATATATCTGACAATTCCAGGCTTTGATGTTGTTATCCGCACGCAGAGCGAAAGCGATATCAGTGATAAATCGCGACACAACACCAAGAAACCATCAGTAATTCACGAGAGACCTGTAGATGCATTCTATGTTACTGAATTCTAGAGCTTTATCTCAAATATTTTCTAATAATCTGAAGATTTTCATTGACAACATTCCATGTGATGTATTGAAGCGTAGACGATTTCGCTTATGTGATTGATATATCTATCCATTAAATTCCTTTACCTGACAAGAACTATTTGAATAAATATTTGCATGTGTATAAATCTATGTAAGTCTGTTAATAAGCCTGTAACACACTGCTTCATAACAAT